AGCGAGTTCATGCGCTCAACCCGACAGCCAGTGCATGCATAGCTGATCACTTCTTCGAGTTCTTCGTCACTCTGGCAAAGTGAACCCTCAAGGCAGATTTCGATTCATATCCGTTTCGTTTCGCGGATATTAGCCTTCAAACCGATGGTGAGAGATTTTGCTTGCAACTGCCGGATCTTCTGTTGGAGTTCAATTATATCTTATGCGAAGAAGATACAGCCGTCCAAGTGGGTTAACTATCAACCATCAGAACTGACTCCGTTTCAGCAGTTTGGTCCCTTAGGTAGTAACTCAACGCCGCGGTGAAGAGCGCTGGTGAGGGAACATCCTCTTGTGCATACCTCAGTGGATACTGATGCGGCATAGGACGTCAAGAAGTTTGATGTCAGCCAAGCAGCCGAAGTTCCAATTTTAAACGGAAAAATATTAATGCCGTGAAGCGCAGTTTCCTCTGCACTAAAGATATGCGATGGATTTTTGAGGGATCAGGTTACCGAGGTAAAAGACCGGTCTCTTCAATTTCAAACAATGTTTTATTTAGGAGAAGGACGCTGATCGCAAAGCTGAACGGGAGGACTGAAGACAATACTAATTACTGAAGGGAAGATTAAAATGAGACATTCACAAGACGGACATTTTTAGTAAATCCACGTGACGGCCCACCGAAGGCGAATGGCGCAGCTATATTTATCATGTGGTGTTTTCGCAATCTGGAATCCAGTCCTGGAGGACGTTGGCCAGACCAGGGATAAAATATTTCTAAGCTGTTGCCTCTAAAATCTAGAATGAGTAGCAGGGAGTGAGGGTTTGTGGACGGATCGTTTAGTGAAATGTTTTAAATTTCGTACCCATGGCAATAATTAACTTAAATATTTACATGACCGTTGTTTAAATTATAATTATACATAAGCATATACAAACTTGTCGAAGGGTGACTTTTAATCATTGGGAATACTGTAAAATGTTCACAAAAAAGATTCACTGTAAAATTACAAATCCACTTCTTAAACAACACTGGAAAGTCAGAGTTTATGTTGACGTCCATGATCGAAAAATTCTCGAACGTACTGCTGCAATTTTTCCATCTGCATTGCCCCTTTAACCAGGGCTGAATAAAAATCTTGAAACAGTAGTAATTGCACTTTTAAGCGGAATTTTAATAGGCATGGTCTTATCGTTATGCATAACGTGGGACAGTCCATTTTTTTGACTTTTTTACAAGCTGCTAAATTTCATAACTACGCCTGTGAGGTTTCAAATTACTACCATGGCGGTTACTGATGTTTCGACCGTGTTCGCAACAGAACCTGGAGGTAAAATCTTCTACCGAAAATGTCTTAAGAACGATAAATGCATGCCCGACAGTCGGTTAAGATAACCGTTTGAAATATTTAATAATTTATGTCTACAAAGGGAGATATATCAGTTAGTGCTTGAATATTTTTTTCTTCGATCCAGCACAGTGAGGCTGTTTCGAGTCAACGTACACTAGGTGCGGTGAGTGACGCTACGGTCCCGCGTTCTGCATATTGTTTTGTCATCGTCACCTGAGAGTTACAGAGCTTAAACAGAATTACAACTCAGATTTATGATGCGTTCTTAAATGGCTTCCCTGCATGGTCAGCTTCAGCGATTGCCTAGACTCCTAGAAGCCATGGGACGGCACGAATACGCCATTTGAATCCAAAGTGACAAGCGTCGGTTGACTATTTACTTTAGATTTGACTTTTTGCTGGTCAGGTGATCCCTAGTTTATGAATATGCATGCAAATCGAAGCGTCGCTGTTACCTGTTGCATTATTCAAGGCAAATACGATGTCCATGCCAAATGCTACTCCTTGAGGAGAGTGTTTTTCGATATGAACTGTCACGGCTAGTTTAGGCCGATGAAACAGCCCGTCCTCTTCCATAAGCTACATGCTCAGCTCATCTTTGATCGATCAGCGAAAGTGCAAGCATTGATTTACTTGAACTTTCAGTTGTTAACAGCAGCAAGCAGAATGATGCGATTTATTATTTTTCTTCCATATAACGAAATTAAAGATAAATATTTAATAAACATCACCATGAATAACCATTCAGACTGCTAAGGGCAACGGCTCATGTAAGAAGACGTAGGAAAATCACGGCCGACAGTGAAGCTTGTACGTGAACCTTGTGGCATACGAATCTTCATTGGTGATCACTGTTCTGCGGTCATCGAGAAACCAAATTAAGAAGGTCAAAACCGGGTTGAAGCGTGCCCTGCCTCGTTGACGTCCTATCGTACCACCTTCGAAGATCGTACCACTTCCAACAGTCAGAGCTTACTATCCGAAGCCCATGGCTTTCACTGCACCGCAGCGTACGGGGGAGGAGGAGGGGAGAATCGAAGCTGTTGCTCGATGTGATTCATAGATCTCTTGCATGGTTTTGACGAGCTTATGATGCTATGGTCGGATTGACGAGGTAAACATCGTTTATTAAGTCGTTTCCATTAGCATCACCGCTCATATGTTTACCAGCGCCTGTCCGATCCGCTGTTTTCCACCCACTGGCTGGACAATCCGCGCATATGCCTATGTTGGCAACTTCACCGCTGGCAGAATAAAACGTGTCGCTCCCTGAGGAAGTTGAAGTGCGACCGTTGACGTCCTCAGGACTAGACTCCTGACAGACAGAAAACGCCGGGCCCCTGAC